GCTCTAGAAAATGTCCAACGATCATTTACCAAACTGCTCATGGGACGCTGCTCAAACCTGACTTATTATGATCGCTGTCGAAGACTGCAGCTGGATCCACTTTGGCTGAGACGCTTAAAAAACAACTTCGTTCTCTTCTACAACATTATAAACCAACGAATTTACGCAGACAGCACCGCACTTGAACTGCCGAAGACTGCAGTCTACCCCACACGTAATGGCGGCTATTTGATACGTACAAACCTTTCAAGTCATAAAATTCGATCGAATTTCTTCTTAGTGAGATACACTTATTTGTGGAACAAACTACCCCTACAGATACGCATGTGTACAAGCCATGTCACCTTTCGAAATCTCCTTCAGACCTTCCTCACTATACCAAATGCTCTGAAGATATTTGACTCACAGCAAACACTAGAAACACTGACAGAAGTTGGTATAAAAAACATTTGATAATAGCTTACAGCTAGCTTACCCACTACATGTCATTACATACCATACCAAATCCTGTGTCCTTGCAGCCTAATAGTCCCTTCGTTTATTATCTACTCCTGACGATACAAACATCCGTAAATTTTACATATGAGTTGCGCGGGTCTAGGACTCAAGGAAAAGTAATCATGATCCGAAACTTTTATTTAATGTAATGAAACGTGTTCACTATACACATGATCGCTCCCACTTATGGGGCCGTGTATCGTCCGTCGGTAAGTATGCAATTTATGTATTTATTTATTTATTCCCCAGGCACATAACTACGGACTTGGCTGGGGTGAGCGGGAGAAGAACTTCTGCAGACCATGTGGATAAGCGGTTGAGATCTTGCTGAAGTAGGCCACAGTCATCGGGAGCGTCGATTTCTCTCCAAATCTTCATGTCGTGCGCAAACAAGGCACACGGCGACCGGAGAAGCTGCGGTAGATCGTTGATGTGGATCAGGAACAGCGTGGGCCCCAGCACAATGCCTTGAGGCACGTCACTTGTAGCGGGGTACCGGTCAGTTAGATGGTCGTCGACCTGTACTCTCCACTTTCGTCCAACAAGAAAGTCGCGGATCCACCGGTGCAGTGAGCCACCGACACCACACATGCTGAGTTTGTGAAGGAGAACCTCATGACTGACCTTGTCGAACGCTTTACTGAAATCGATGAATATCACGTCGACGGACTTCCCCTTGTTTATTGCCTTCAACCAATCATGCCTCGTCACAAGCAGGTTCGTAATGCATGAGCGACCTTGCATAAAACCGTGCTGTGCGGGCGTCAGGACCTCGTTTGACTGTAGCAATTGCAGCAATCCCGTCATCACGATTTTCTCAGCAACCTTTGCCAAAATAGGTGTCAGACAAATTGGCCTGTAATTGTCTACTTTGCTAGGGTCGCCGCCTTTCGGAATAGGTTTCACCACCGAACATTTCCAGTCAACCGGCAACAAACCTGCGGACAGCGACCTGTTGAAAAGGTCAGTCACGACAGGAGAGAGGATGGTTGAAAGTGACTTGAGAACCAGTGGGTGAAACCCATCAGGTCCGGCAGGCTTGGTGCCGTCAAGATTGGTGAGTAGTTGAGCTACCTCTTCAACGCAGCAATGCAGACTATCGAGTTCGGTAAAAGCGGTACATGTCGAACTCGGAACAGACACCTGGTTACTCGCAAATACAGAAGCGAAGTGCGCCGCCAACGCGGACGCACGTTCAGTGCTGGAGATTAGGGGCTGTCCATCCGTGCCATCCAGCACTGGCACATCACCTGACGGCTTCAGGCGTCGCTACACGTATTCAAAGATTCTCTTTGGGGCGGTTTTCGCGGCTAATGCGAGCTTCTCTTCAAAGTGTCGGCGTTTATTCTTTTTTGCACTGTTGCAGTGGTTCCACTGACATTTATACCCTTCGTAATCATTGGCAGAGCCAGAGAGAAGGAATTTGTCCCACAATCTGCGCCGCCTCCGAGCCAGGTTTCTATACTCCTTGTCAAACCAATGAGGCTTAGTCGGTCCAACCTTTCGACATTTCAATGGCACAAATTGGGAACACAATGATGTCAATCTCTCTTTTATGAATATCCAACAATCTTCCACAGAAGCAGCTTGTGACAGAGACCAGTCCAGTTGACTCGCGGCTCGAGCTAGACCATCGAAGTCCGTTTTCCAGTAGTTGGGATCTTGTCGCAGCGGATGTGAATACGGCAAAGATAATTCCACATCAGCTATCAGTACTGAGTGGTCGCTCGTAGCCAGGGGCTCCAGAATCCTAATGTTACGCACTGGTTGTTCGTAGCTCGTTAACATCAGGTCGAGACAGGACGGGGTTGAACGTGTCGATATGCGTGTTGGCTGGCATATGTGTTGCGATGCACCAGTTTCAAGTACCAAATCCACGAACTTTGCTTCAACTTCACTATGTCCAGGCATCAAATGCACATCAGGCCATCGTATTCGAGGACAGTTAAAATAGCCCATAAGTAGAAGGTGTGGACGACTCATGTGGGTCCGAAGAATGGGCAGCCAATCCAAACAACGACTCAGGGGACTGCGATAAACTGCGCCCACAAGCAGTTCTCCGCGCCTGAGGCGGATGGAACACCACAGTAGCTCACACAGACCATCGTCACTTCGGTAGGTGCTCACAAGTCTCCCACGCAGGGTAGACCGGATGTAAAGTAAGACACCACCGTGGGCATTCTTTAGTCGATCGCATCAGAAACACGAGTAACCGTTGAGTTCAAGTTCTTTGGTGTATAACTCTGCATGCAGCCATGTCTCTGCAAGTCCCACTACGTCTGGCCGCTCAGACGCAACGAAACAACAAAGCTCATCGCGCTTATTCATAATACTGCAAACGTTTGTGAAGGCTACTCGCAGGTCGCTGCAGGAGCCACCGGGCGTGCTTGAAGTGTGAGCAGCCTATTTATCCTGATTCGCGGATTGTTGGAAACCACCCGAAAATTTACGATACGAAGATTTGTTTCCCCCTCACCAGTGCGTCTTTTCAGCTCAATGATGGCAGACTTGAGCCGATCCCTGTCTACTGGGTCTAGGTCGGGACGAACATGGATTTTCAAACCTTTCAGTCTAGTTAGGTGAGACATAATCAGTCTTGGACTGGCTTCGTCCACAAAAGTGATTCTCATAGGCTGATTTTGTTGATTACCTTGCTTTCCAAGACGGGTAATGTGCCTCAGTTTTACCGAGTCCTCACCAACGTCGAGGAGTCTATCAATTAGACCCTGTAAAAACTCGACATCGTGATTGTAGCGCACTTGGGGTGATGGGTCACTGGACTCCGGTGCGTGAAAGATCACGAGATTATGACGCCTCTGGTCGGACGAGGTTGGCCTTGCAGGGCAAAGTATACTACCAGCCTCAAGTGGTTTGGCTAACTGTTGACTTACAGAACGTGAAAGCCCAACTTTCCTTCGTAATTTCATCCTCTGTTCTTTCCACTGGTCTTCAGCATTCAGACTTTCACCTGCTGGGACATCAGTGTCCGTTGGACACAACGCAGGTAACCAATTTAGATCAGGTGCAACTGGGCTTCTCACAACGGTTGGACTTCGTGTCGGTGAGTTTGCACGGGCAAGTTGTAAAATCAACGAAGTTTGAAGCGTAGAAGCATATTGCTGAACCGTTTACATGGTGCTCTGAGGCCGTAGATATGTCGGTGCACCTGGCCGGTGCCAACTTATCCGCTGGCGCCACTTGTTGTGCATGTCAGCCCACCGACTCCCGCGACGAGCGTTATTTGCACGCCGGTGGTATGGATGGAAGCAGAGGAGGGAAGACGAAGCTATGACTTGGTCTAGAGGAATGAAGGCATCTACTTCGAAGTTTGTGTCAGTAGGTATCTCCCGACTGTCGGGTTGCGGTCCCTAGAGCAATGAGCACACTTGGTTGGATACACTGGTTGACAAGGCGAAGAGCCGACCGCAGTTGTGTTTGTGTTGCCAGTTTCTTTGCCCCCCCCCATTCCGTTTATCTCCCGCATCCGACCATGCTATTCGTCTCGGAACATAATTTCTTACTAAACAGCATATTACCTGTATCATGTATCCCCTAACTTTTTATATTCCACTTTTCAAATCTTCTTGTATTGCAGTACAACAGTTGAAGCTTGTTATTTACCTTCAGCTAATGTGCAAGGATGATGATGATGTTGATGAATCTGCGGGTGCGTCTGGGTGATGACTACAGCAGGTAGGTGTTACTCCCTTCAACGAGGAGCCATGGTATCAAAGTTGGATTTTGAGTATCTGCCGTGTGGTTGGATTGCGACAAGCAACCTCTTTCGGGACCTGGGTTCACTTTGAAGTAGACGCCGGTCATTTAGATCACAAAGGCCGGACCCGAAACGGAGGTGTTTCCGTGTAGCTGCTGCCAACACTGACACCCCATGAATGGCTTCGTCCTGGTTTGGACTCTTCACACGGGGATAATCAGAGCTGGGGTGGAACTCATGGTCTATTGGTTCACGGCTGACGCCTTGATCACTATGCAACTGAGATCCGTGAACAACACTTGGTACAGCAGTAAGAAATCCACAGTTGGATTTTGGGTGCTCGCTGTCGGGGTCGGTAGGTGACCAAGTGGTCTGCGCGCCTGGTTTGCAACCTTAAGGTCACCGGTTCGAATCCGCACAGGGGTGGGCGTCATCGCGGTATACTCAGCTAGCGCACGACTGGTGACTGTCGCGAGACAGCGAAGCGCCTTTACGGTGTACGGCTGGCGATTTGTTTTAAGTATCGCAGAGTTAGGAGCACACACTACTCATCTAGTGTGTCTTTTAGATATGTTGCATGGTAGAGAAAGCCAAAAGGTTGAAAAGGACGTATTACGCCTATGTTGTTCGGTTTGTGGATCTGTCAAAAATGTTAGTGATAACGTAACCCCCTAGGTGGTTACTCTTTTTGTCCTCTACGAGTGGCATTTCACCCAAAATGGTATGGAAAGGCGTGAGTCTCACGGGTGAGGAGTGTGGACTGTATCAATCAACTAAGATTTATCCGGGGAAGTAAATAAAATTGAGAATAAAGTACCTCCTTATATGTTGTGTATTTTAGAGGGGTTTCCGAGATCTCACCAATCTATCGGAGATCAGATAAAGTTGAGACTCCGCTGGACACCCGATTTTGAGTGGAACACCAGTTGTCAAAACTGAAGTAGTTCGAGAGCGCACAAACTACCCGCTGGTCATATTCAAACAGGATGAAAAAGCCACAATACAGGAAATGGAATACTGCTTACTTTACCAATTCTCTTGACTTGACTCGCTTTGCTCCTCTAACGCGTCTTGGAGCCGCATTGTTCCTATTGGGTAGAAGATAAATAGTGGGAAAAGTCGTAAAGTGGGGCTTACAAAGTCACTCCACGGAATCACAATTCTCATTCACAGAATTACAGAAAAGGGTGAGAAGTGTAGGTAGCGACGTTATACCCCCGGGCTGGTTTCTTAAGAAACTTATCAAGTAATCTCTGTTTGGAAACATGCAACGTTTAGCCGGAACGAAACTAAGAAACTCACCGGCACAATATTCCAGGAGCCTGGGTAGACGAAGTGAAATTCGAAAGGCCTCGTGGGATAAGTTGATCTTTCTACACGACAACTTATGATACTATTCACCAAGCCACTAATTGAGAATCTACGGGGTATCGCAACGAAGCATGTGTTTCTGTGCACACTCGTTTAATTGTTCGTGTTCATCAAAATACATTTGAAGAAGTCGGGGTGCTACCCTGCTTGGATGTGTATCATGGGACCTAAAACGGTGTGAAGCGTCGGATGCGTACACCTAGTAGCTTCCAAGGTAAACATGGGAAAGTGCATTTGACCCTCCGGTCCACTCATCGCCCACGCGAATGTCACACTGGAACGGCTAAATGCGACCTAGTAGCTAAAGTTAAAGCACTGATACTGGGCGCCTGAACCCATACTTCACCGGACATGTGTTGCGGCCGTATAGTTTTCGTAGTCTCTACTTTGTCATAGCTTATTGTTGTCTTCACTTGGACGCACACTGAAAATGGATTGCAACAGGAGGGTTTAATTGGGACTGCGGTTTACTCTGAAGTGATCCTCGGTCAGTTTGGTCACGCGGACGGTGACGGAAGTAGAAAAATGCTAGACTTTACCAGAGCCCAACTCGACACTCATTGACCAGTTTCGTGATTGCTTCCAGTCAATCTTCAGATAGAAGTAGATTGACACAAGTGGCTTTCGCCGATGAGTCGATCGTTTCAAACTATGCCGGCTGCACGGCATGGTAAAGCAAACTAGACGTCCGCGGTGGGAACGAAATGGGAAGTCATAACTTACACCATAACCGATTCTTGGTAGGAGAATGTTCAGAAATTGGGAATGTTTGAGTCGCCTTCAGTTGTGCACTACACCACCGGTTTGTGCTTGCTTGTGCTCTTCACATGGATAACGCCAAAATTGGAATCGATCCCGGACGTGATGGGTTTTCGCCTGGCAAGCGTTCTCCCTACAAAATGCCACATATGTCCGTTTAAAAACACTGTGACGTGGCAGATATGACTCGCTACTAAATAACGTCACTTCTTGTCTCTCTCTCTGAGTGACATTGTAATTCAAGGGTGTGTTGGGTCCCTGGTCCTATGCCTTCCTAAAGGCGTATGAACCATATATTTGGTCACCGACTCCCAAAGGGTTGCAATACCCTCAAATCGTCCTGCTGCCTTGTAGGTTAGATCCTTGATCAAAAGATCGGGGTGACGCCCCATAAGACAACCCTCTACTTCGGTCTGATCAACGGGGTAATATCTCGCCCACTGACGAACCATGAACTTACAACCACAACCATTCACCCGCTCTATCTCTGCGATTCACCCGCTCTCTTTTGCTGTAACCATGCTATTCATTCATGTCACTATGTCAACTGCACAACCACACGCCACCATTTTACCTACCCTTCCCTTGTACCATCCACACTCATTTTTACCTGATTCCTCTACGGCGAACAACACCACCTACACCGCTGAACCTGTTCCCGTGACATCTGCCAACTCAACCACACAGTACTCAACAGAAAGCTGCCGGCCCCAAAGTCGCCCATCTTCACTCCCGCAACCCGGAACGCACTTCAAACTTGCAGCCTTCAAAGTACATGCATTACTGCGGATCCGTCAGCAAGCTGGACTTGCACGCACCATAGATACCCTTGGCATTGATATCTGCTGCCTGACTGAAACATGACTCCAGGACTCTAACTCGGTCTATCAGCTGGTGTCACCACTCCACCCACACATCCGCTTCCATCTACGCCTCTCTGGTGACGTCGAGTTTGCCACATCTGGGCAAGCTGATGTTGGAATCGCCCCCAGTGCTAGAGCCGAGACTGCTTTGATTGATTGGATTCCGATCAATAGCCACCTTTGTGCGATGGGGCTCCATGGCTCTTGTGAAGTTAGCAGAGGTCTAGTCGCAAAGCGTGCTCTCTTCGTGATCTCTGCCTACGCGTCTACTGACTGTAACTCGGACACCGTCAAAGACCAGTTCTACTGGCAACTTCATGAGCTGCTCCTAAGGGCTCCTAATACAGACATCTTTGTTTTGGCAGGTAACTTCAACGCGCTTGTCGGTCGTCTGCTGCCATGTGAGCGCCACCTAGGGGGACCGCATGGATATGATGATGTTTGCTCAGACAACGGAGAGAGACTGCTCAGTCTGTGTGTTGATCATCGGTTATACCTCTCCAGCATCAGCTTCCGTCCTCCTGGGAGCCAGCACGCCACTTGGCGCCCCCATCATCAACCCAGCGCTGGTCACCGATTGACCACATAGCTATAAGTCGCAGATGGCGCGGCAGCGTACGCGACTGCCGATCATTTTGGTCAACATGCGTCGATACTGATCATGCACTGGTGTGTGCGACCGTTTGCATGCGTTTCGGTGGTTCGTCTAGGCCAAAACACACCTGACTGAACACAAACAAGTTGGAGGACCCAATGGTGAAGAAGGAGTAACAACAATGGCTTCGTGAAAATCTCCCTCTCTCTCGCACTCTGGATGTTGATCAACACTAGTCAAGTCTGCAACAAGCCTTGCTGTCGGCCGGTTTGTTTAGCTGTGGCCTCGTTCGCTCCACTCTCAACAGTTGGATCTCGGCAAGATCTTCGGAATTGCTGGATCGCCGACGGACGGTGCCTACAGCGCAGAGTACAACGAACACTGCCGGTCTATTATGCAACCGCTGGAGGCAAGCCTTCGCTTTGATCATGAATCTTGGTGGACAAAACGAGCTGCGGAGATGGAAGCAGCTGCATTAGCTGGCAACTTCCGCCGTCTATTTCGCATCATCAGGGCCACCGGTTGCAATTCCTACGCTATCAGCCAGACGATTTGCGAATCAGATGGCACGAAGATCACCAACATTTACAGGCGATTGGGTCGCTGGGCAGAGCATTTCGTTCTTCAACTCAACCACCCAATCTATGATGCTTGGTCTGTCTCCATAGCCCCCCCCCCAAAAGATGCAGAGATTCGAAATACAATCCAATCTCTGAAACACCACAAGGCAACGGGTCCCGACAACCTACCACCGGCTCTATTCAAAGATGGCAGGAGTGCACTTGTCAGCGAAATACTATCGCTGTTCACGAAAGTTTGGACTGATGAGAAGGTTCGGAAATCATGGGGAGAATCGGTCATTGTTCCGATTCACAAGAAGGGCTCCCGCGCCGATTGCTGCAACTACCGCGGAATCTCGTTAATCGCTGTCGCATTCAAACTCTTCCTGTCGGTCCAAATTAGCAGGCTTTCAACGGCTAGAGAAAAGTTTTCCCGGGAAGAACAATCCAGATTTCGTCCAGGCCGCTGCTGCGTCGACCAGATCTTCACGCTTCGGCAAGTTCTCGAACTTCGTCACATCCACCGGCGGCCAACAATCGTACTGATTTTGGACATCCGAGCGGCATTTGATTCAGCAGATAGATCTGAGTTGTGGAACTGTTTACTAAAGAAAGGTGCGCCCGACAAGTTTGTAACTATCCAGAAAGAACTTTACAGTCACACCTCGGGCAAAGTCAGGACTTACGGCACGCACTCTTCTTCATTTGCTGGGACTATCGGTGTTCGCCAAGGTTGCCTTATTTCACCTTTCCTCTTCAATTTCGTCACTGAAGATGTTCTCCAAAGAGCATTGGAAGGTGTCCATGACTGTGGTGTTGAGCTCCTCCCTGGAGACAGAATCACGGAGTTGGACTATGCCGATGATATCGCCTTGCCGTCCAGAGCGCTTTGGACCGCTTGGCGATGGAGGCGTCTAATTACGGCTTATACTTCACTCCTGGAACATGTAAAGCCCTGCTCCAGGACTGGCAGGTGCCTGAAGCTGCGCTCACCATTGCCGCACATGTTCTTGAGCAAGTCCCTTGCTTTACTTATTTAGGGAGTTCATCACGGCTGGTGGCCGTGTTGGAGATGAAGTCTCACAACGGATTACAAAGGCCCGCCTTGCATTTATCAAACTGAGACACCTATGGCGTCATCGTACTGTCAGTCTCAAGCTCAAAGGCAGGGTGTACAATGCTTCCGTCCGTGCAGTACTCTTGTACGGCTGTGAGACTTGGCCTATTCGCTCGGAAGATAGGAAGCGGCTGTCAGTCTTCGACAATCGCTGTCTACGAAGGATCGCACGGGTGTGGTAGCAACACCACGTAAGCAACGCAGAGGTGTGAGGCCGCGTGCTTGGGGCGAATACTGTCAGTCTTCAGGACGTTATTCACCGATGTGCCATGCTTTGGCTCGGGCGTGTTTTGCGCATGCCAGCCCATCGCCTTCCACGTCGAGCGATATTTGTACTCTCAGGGAGCGATTGGAAAAAGTGTCGCGGTGGACAGCCAATGACGTGGAAAAGGAGCAGGAAGAAGGCAACCTCAAGTTTGACGGCAGTCGGACCAGTCCGTCTTTCAGTTTGGGGACCACGAGATGCTGAATCTCAGCGGTTTAAAACATTGCATATCATGGCCCGCAACAGACATCAGTGGCGTCAATGTTATTCTGCCATTTTATCATCCCTTTGATGCACGCAATATTCACAAAACATAACAAAAAATACATGGTGTGTGTAAAACCAAAAAATCATTTCCCATATTTGTTAATCGAAGTTCGTGGTCCCATCATGTTCAATTTTTGCTTCTGCCATGGTTCTGATGGCACAGTGTCTGTTAACAGACTGTGCATATATATATATATATATATATATATATATATATACCCGTTGAGCAAATACATTATATTTTTCGACTAGGTACAAGTTGCTATTCAACTGCAAATGTAAGTCGTGAGC